AAAAGTTATAGGATTAGATTGTCTTCTGTTTAAAGTTATAGGATTAGATTGTCTTCTGTCTAAAGTTATAGGATTAGATTGTCTTCTGTTTAAAGTTATAGGATTAGATTGTCTTCTGTTTAAAAGTTATAGGATTAGATCGTCTTCTGTTTAAAAGTTATAGGATTAGATTGTCTTCTGTTTGAAGTTATAGGATTAGATTGTATTCTGTTTGAAGTTATAAGATTAGATTGTTTTCTGTTTGAAGTTATAGGATTAGATTGTATTCCAGAAGACAATCTAATTCTATAACTTCAAACAGAAGACAATCTAATCCTATAACTTCATACAGAAGACAATCTAATCCTATAACTTCAAACAGAAGACAACATAATCCTATAACTTTTAAACAGAAGACAATCTAATCCTATAACTTTTAAACAGAAGACAATCTAATCCTATAACTTCTAAACAGAAGACAATCTAATCCTATAACTTTTAAACAGAAGACAATATAATCATATAACTTTTAAACAGAAGACAATCTAATCCTATAACTTCAAACAGAAAACAATCTAATCTTATAACTTCAAACAGAAGACAATCTGATCCTATAACTTTAAACAGAAGACAATCTAATCCTATAACTTTTAAACAGAAGACAATCTAATCCTATAACTTTTAAACAGAAGACAATCTAATTCTATAACTTTAAACAGAAGACAATCTAATTTTATAGCTTTAAACAGAATACAATCTAATCCTATAACTTCAAATAGAAGACAATCTAATCCAATAACTTTTAAACAGAAGACAATCTAATTCTATAACTTTAAACAGAAGACAATCTAATTCTATAACTTTAAACAGAAGACAATCTAATTTTATAGCTTTAAACAGAATACAATCTAATCCTATAACTTCAAACAGAAGACAATCTAATCCTATAACTTCAAACAGAAGACAATCTAATCTTATAACTTTTAAACAGAATTTAAAAGTTATAGGATTACTAGGTAAACTAAGAGTTTTTCATGAACATTATTAGTAAAAATCCTGTGTAGAGAACTAGGTAAACTAAGAGTTTTTCGTGAACATTATTAGTAAAAATCCTGTGTACAGAACAACTAGGTAAACTAAGAGTTTTTGTGAACATTATTAGTAAAAATCCCGTGTACAGAACAACTAAGCCTTGTAAAAATCCAAACAATGATAAACAGATTAAAAGCTCTCAATTTTTGGAGTAATTTTTTTCAGATGTTTATAATAGCCTTTGCAGTGGTCCACAGTGACATCATGATACATACACAATAATTCACAACTGTAGCTTACAAAAATATATGCTAAATACTTTTGTAATTTTGGAAAAGACTCTTGCTTCCTAGTTGATAACATTATGAATTTACTTGTTCCACTGAACTACAAAAGAGTTAGTAGTTTACATATGATAGATAAAGACAAATAAAATAGTGAGAAATAAAAACTTCGAGACTCTTTCTTTTTTTTAGTCATTATATATTCTCTTTAACAAAGATTTTAAACCATTACATGGTAAACAATTAACGATAAGACATAAATCCGTAAGACAACAAACGTTTGATACCATTTGCAATGTAATTGTTACATACAATTTAAATGACAACTGGTTAATTTTAAGTCAGGTCCAAATCTGTTTATAACTTTATGACAGATATAAACATACATGTATATATACTATTCGAATATGATGTTGCTGGAAAACAAAACAACAGTTGCGATCATTCGATAAGTTTTCACACAGGTGAACATCATAATACTACAAAAGAAACAATATCCACACCTTTGAAATAAAGCTGGTAAATCAATAATAAATCCAACATAAACAATACCCACATTATAATGGTACAATAACACTGTTATCACACAGTAATAAACAATGAATAAATTCTGGAGAAAGCCTCAATCAAGTGACAATCTAAAGGCAGTTTAAAATGCTTATTATATTATGAAAATCTTTTAAAATCTTGTAGAAAAAAAATGTACATGCTCCACAGTGATATCAATACGAGTCTTATATATACAACATTTGCTGTTTATGCATATAAATACACAAAACTTCACCTTCACCGGGTTTTTACACATGAACACAATGAATTCTAATTCCCTATCGACAATGAAACCAGAAAAATGACTCATTTAGAACCTTGTAGGTATTTTTATTTTAGAAGGACATGGTTCAACAATTTACTACGCAACAGGTTTCTTTGGTTTTAATAGTTTCCGGTTTCATAATTTGAATTGTGTTTACGATTCTAAGATAAGACTGAGCTCAAAACTGGAAAGATAAATTCATAATCTTATCATAAATAAGTCTTCAAAATTTATAAAACAATTTACACATCTTCAGATTTTAGTATAAACTTCAAAAAAGTAATGGCTATGCTGAAAAATAAAAATACAATTTTAAGTTGTATTATAAAGGAATCCATTTTAATATAAAAACTCCACACCTAATTGAAAACAAAAATACAATCTTAAGTTGTATTATAAAGGAATCCATTTTAATATAAAAACTCCACACCTAATTGAAAATAAAAATACAATCTTAAGTTGTATTATAAAGGAATCCATTTTAATATAAAAACTCCACACCTAATTGAAAATAAAAATACAATCTTAAGTTGTATTATAAAGGAATCCATTTTAATATAAAAACTCCACACCTAATTGAAAACAAAAATAGATTTATATCTGATGTGAGTTTTAACTAGAAAATATCTCTAGAGCATTATGACGGGTACACTCTTTATCAATCACACTTCACAATAAATCTGTTGAAGGTTAAATAAAAACTGAAAGATTAAATCAGAAACAAGCACAAAATGCTCCTTTTGTCTTCAGTGAAATAGTAGCATTAGAATGGATCACATTACAAGCAGCTTTTCAAAGATCCATACAAAATATACTAATGGAAATACAGTTTGTCACATGCATGTGAGTGAAATTAGTGTAAGTTACACTTCGTTCTTCATTTAGAACTAAGAAAAGAACAGATAAGTTAAAAAAAAACAGTTATTAACTTAATTGTGTATTTTGTGTGGGTATATCATGTTTACAAGATTAATGAGCTTTAGGTGGGGTATAATTCTCCAGATTAAAAATTTAATTTTAAATTAATCTTCAACTAGAGTTCAACATGTTTATTAAGTACACAGAGTTGTATAAACCTGGCAAAACTAACTACCTAAAAAAAGGATATTACAGTTTAGAAACAAATATCTAAAATTTACCAGTTATTTTGTTTCATAATGTTTTATAATTTTCTTCACGAAATTCTTTGGTCATATAATAATTAGCATGTAATAGTTATCAGTCATAAACAGTAAACACTAATATCTAAAGACCATTTATATCACTTTCACAGAACTAAAAATACTCAACCATTATAGCTCATCACATGAGAAATGAATAATTTACATGATTGTATCGGTAAATAACAATTCAACTTGTGAATCCGAAACACTTTTAATAAGAACGTAATTTGACGGTCAAGAATATTTTAATACAGTCAGCTTATCATGAGTTACAGGACTTATTCAAATATTTAATAGAATAGCTTGGAACAGCTTTATTTGAATGACAAAGAGCAAAGAGTTTTTTTTAGGCATTTTGAAGACTAATAGATTATGAAGAAACACTAAATAAAATATTCATATCAAAATTTTATCATAAATGCTGCATACAATTCCCATAATAAGTTAATTAGGTTGTTAAATATACACAATAAATGTGCACTATTGCATTTTAAATTGTTCACATATCCCCACCCCCCCAGCCACAAGTGATGCATATATTAACAACAAAAGCTAATTTCCTTTTAAACTCTGACAGTCTTTTCACCATGATATTATACAAATAATATAAAAACAAAAACTTTCACTGAATCATCCATTTCTTTGCACATTAGTCAATACACATAAATGTATTTTTTTTGCACTACTTAACTGAATCGCAGAGCAGCTTAAACATTTAAGTTTTATTATAATCAAAATGCTTCTGCATATAGTTTTCATGCAGTATTATTTTTGGTAATGATAATAAAACTAAAACATAAACAACTTTTTGTGTAATCAAGTAAAACGTAAAAATAATCAAAAATGGTGGCACACACACACATACAAAAAAGTAACGAGTGGATAACCTCGAAACAAGTAATGGGTGGATAACCTCGAAAAAAGTAACGGGTGGATAACCTCGAAAAAAGTAGCGGGTGGATAACCTCGAAACAAGTAGCGGGTGGATAACCTCGAAACAAGTAGCGGGTGGATAACCTCGAAACAAGTAACGGGTGGATAACCTCGAAACAAGTAACGGGTGGATAACCTCGAAACAAGTAACGGGTGGATAACCTCGAAACAAGTAACGGGTGGATAACCTCGAAACAAGTAACAGGGTGGATAACCTACAAACAAGTAACGGGTGGATAACCTAGAAACAAGTAACAGCAATGTAGTACAATAGCTCTCTAAATCCCATTGTTTCAAAAATATTTTACTGTACAATAGATATGACTTTATGATAATGATAACATAACAATAGATATGACTTTATCATGTTATAACTTCTCACCGAAACATCTTAAAGATTTGGTTTTCGTGCGTTATTCCAGTGGCGATAGGGTTATGACAAGCTAAACAATAAAGGAGATAATTTAAAACGAGAACGTCCACTTGAGAAACATAAGACTAGGAAATTAAATGCTTTTCATGTCACTGGCTGAACAGATTCTTCAGGGACATTTCTCAAGCAACAGCTAGTTCGACTCCAATAAATCTTACTGTCCAGTAAGAACTTGAAGAATCATGTTTCTTTAAAATCACAGACAGGTAAAATAAGTTGAAGTAACTATGTTTTGGTTTTAAGGAATAAATTTTAACAGTTCTGCTGAGGATAAGCAAGTTGATTTTAAATAAAAGGAATTAAGAAAGAAATCTTTAGAATATAGTGGTATAACAAGTAGACTGACATTTATATTTTTCTCACTGGAAACATTATTTGAAGAATGATACAACACATATCTGTAAGAAGTAATTACTGTTTAACACAGCTTAAAAAAATGATTTTTCAAAATGGCATGAATGAAAGTTGATTATATTACAATAAATGCCAGTTTATGTGCAGTTTCTAACAATCTAATACTGGTGCTTTGTCAGCAGTACTAACATTTAAAGAACTAACACTACAAAAATGACAATTTACAGTTATATACATTAAAAGTATCACTCATGCACTTAAGGCATGATAACTCGTTTTAAAAACAAAAGCTTTAAAAGTACAATCATTTAATTAAAAGATATATCTTGTTTCCAGGCTCTTCATCCGGTGAATCCTTTAAAAAAAAAAACATGTTTCAATTCTTAAAAATAATCCATTCCATTTTATACAAAAGCAAATAAATAGTTCAAATGGAAATGTGGCAAAGTGCCTTTATGGCAAACACTCACTACTCTTCAACTCACAGGATATGGTGGAGTAATGTTATGGCTTATATTCTTTAGCTGAGTGATAGAGCCCCACACCTGTTATATCCCAAACCTTCCCATTGATTGCTATGAATGCTCAAGTCTGAAAGTCTCCTCGGTAGCTGGGTCACTTATTACACAAATATCAGGGTCTGTGAGTATCTGTAATCCATCAAAATCAATGGGGTCCAGTCCGGCACGTAATGCATCATCTGGAGTAAAAAAAATCTGTCTCAAAGGAGCCAGACATACTGGCCATGGCTGAACCAATATCTTTAGCAAAGTCTTGCCTCAACAGGGGTTCTTCTCCTCCTGGAGCTGAAAAATAAATAAATCTTTAAAAGGAGGATTAAGCTAAACCTCCCCCCCCCCCACATAAGTGGGAGGGTAGATCCCATCTTGCCTCTCTTGAATTGATATCACCATGGCAATCCAATAATTGTAAAACTACTTTATTACATATGTATCATTGTAACATAAACTTTAAATGATACAATATCATAAGCATTACTAGATATATCCCTGTGATATAATATCATATATATATTACTAGATATATCCCAGTGATATAATATCATAAGTATTACTTGATATATCCCCGTGAAACAAAATTATAAGTATTACTTGATATATCCTGTGAATTTGAACCATATTCAGATATCACATTTCAATCATTAATTTTTTTGTTTTTGGCCTTGGTTATTGTAATGTGAAAAGCTACACAATAGTTTATCTTTGCTCTGACCTCCACAGGTATCAAAACCTGATTTTTAACATCATAAGCCTGCAGACTTACTGCTTTTACTTTGGAAAGAGATTTTAAATAAAACAGAAAACAATCTAATTCTATAACTTTAAACAGAAGACAATCTAATTATATAACTTTAAACAGAAGACAATCTAATTATATAACATTTAAACAGAAGACAATCTAATCCTATAACTTTTAAACAGAAGACAATATAATCCTATAACTTTTAAACAGAAGACAATATAATCCTATAACTTTTAAACAGTAGACAATCTAATTCTATAACTTTAAACAGAAGACAATCTAATCCTATAACTTTTAAACAGAAGACAATCTAATTCTATAACTTTAAACATAAGACAATCTAATTCTATAACTTCAAACAGAAGACAATCTTCTGTACACAGGATTTTTACTAATAATGTTCAC